ACTATTGTAACTAATTTGTTATTCTCTGGAGAGATAACTTCCCTTGCCCTCCCGCCACTTAGTGCTAACAGGACCCAAGTAGATGGAAATATCTACTTTTCACTGGTAAACTTGTCTCTCCACTTTTATCGTGAGTTGCCTAATCATCACTATGTAAGAGTCTGGCGGACCTACCTCTTTGGATACCAATCTTATTATACAAAGTGACCAAAAATATCTATTGATAGTGTATACTCCATTCCACTATTATCAATTATTATTTCAACTGTTTTTTCTTTTATTAGCCCTTCTTGACTGATTTGATTACTGCCTCTTTATATCTTCATGCTTTCTTTGAGTTATGTTCGATATTTCGTTTCAATTTATCCTTTGCGATTTTAATTTGGACTTAAAACTGATTGATATTACAATTCCTTAAATTATATTTTCTTCTCCCACTCATTGTTGCTCCTATCCTCTTTTTGTCAGGTCATCACACGTATCGAAGACCTTTCCTATCGGAAAGAAAATGTGCCTGTGCAGTGTGTTAACAGCGTGGATGGCGAAGTGCCTGGCTATATTGACTATACACCGCGGCGTCAGCCGGCTGGAATCGTTCCATTAGATCAGACAACTGCTGAGACTGGTTTCCTTGTTTGTTGCGATTGCACGGACAACTGCAGAGATCGTAGTAAATGTGCATGCCAGCAGCTAACCGGTAGGATAATATTATATGACACGTCAAATGTGGGGTTGAGAGGAAGAGAGAGATAATGTTGCTTAGCTCTCGCCATGGCTAGCAGATAATTTTTTGTCCTTTGAGCGTTTTATTAATTCGGATAATTTTTTTATTCTCTTTTGAGCAGAAATTAAGTTTTCCTGAAATATGCATATGCAAATATCATGCATGTTTATTTCTATTTTGAAGTATCTAGAGTTGCATTCATCCAAACGTACTCCCCAGGACGATCGTCTTGGGCTCCGGGTAAAATATGACAGGCTTTTGTCTATAATTTGCTAGACATCATCAGAGCTATATAGCAGTCTTATAACTACTTCGAGTTAAAGAGGCATAGAAATTCATCGTATTATCCCTATATACTGCATGTCTACTCTAACCTTATACATTTTTGTGAAATATGTTGTGATTTGGTTAGTTCCTGACGTATATCATTCTATAAACATTTGTTTATGTGTTAATGTGCCCACATGAGCTCATGTATACCGAAGGGATAGCTCCGAGTACTTTGACTAGGGCGTACTATCTGTTTTAGGAAATCAAGCTTTAATGAATTTTTTCCCACTCATTTCAATTTAATGTCGAACATGTGTGCAGTCAGATCTATCGAAAATGTGACTATAGTTACAGCCATTAACAAAAATGAGTTATTGAATTACCTCCATTTTTTCTCCCATTCTATTCTTAAGTCTATCAATCATTTTCGAAATATTCTTTTTATTAGGCACAAATAGTTACTACTTAACTTACTACCCGAATTCTTGATATTCAATGCATTTTTTGCTCTGTTGTTTCAAATGGCCTCCCCACTTTTGCACTTATCTACAAATATGCCATAATCTGTATAACGATACGTTTGTGGCCATTCTGTCTCATGCCCAGTTTCGGCCGTGTTTAAGCCACTTCCGACTTATTAATCCAATACCCTCCATATATGTATTGTTCACCTTTTATTAATCGAGTTTACTGATGTTCAACAAAGTACGGCCGAATAAAAAACCTGGTATGGAAAAAAGGTCACCTCATTTTCCATCTGGAATTTAATTCCTTATTTGAAGGCATGAAGACCAAGATGGTGTGCCTCTTTGTGTGGTCACAGTCTCGTTTCGTTGTATAGACGATGTTTGACCTTGTTTTCGCAACTTGGTCATATTGGTAGGAAGACTTAGAGTAACGCACCTAGTCCGGAGT